ACTAATGGAATAATTGCATTGTAATAGGAACGATTTCTAATTCATGCACATTTAAATTAGTACATAAAATTAAAAACGAATGCCAATTTATCACGAATTTGGTCTTAACCATGGGCGAGATTTCTTGTCAGATAATGAAAATAACTGTACTCAGTTTAATTAAATGTTGTAATCCATGTGGCAAACTCATGCATTTTTATATAACCGAAACACCTTCATGTAGGAAACATAAGGATTCCATGCTAACTCTTTCATCTCGTGAGAACATAGGAACTCGCGGTTCAGAAGCATTTCCTTAGTTCATCTTACGTCAAATTCTTCCAGCTCTGTAATTTAGATGATTTTATCAGATGATAACAGGGATACATATATTCCCGGAAAACGAAAAAAGAACACCTTGACGGACAATTCGCAAGCGTTAAAAACTCAAGAGGTCGAGGCCTAGTGCTAATTATCATTTCACAAATCAAAATAAAGATCTGAAACTTTATCCAGAGGCCAAAATTATGATCCACACTCTGTATAAAGGTTTTCATTGAACTACAGGCATATACAGTTGCTCACTTAAATGTTCGATTACACGTCCAACTTGAATTTTCATATTGTATTTATGTGTTAGGAAGGTCAAAGTAGCAAAACAACAGATTATTGTTTAAAATATGTACAAAATGAAACAAAATTCATGTTTAGATGACTAACAAAACCATACAAAACAAATAAATCGAACTGTTAGCACCAATTCAATATTCGGTCACTCTTCATAAATTAACAAATGTTACATGGTTTATTTTAGTACTGGGTAATGCTATCTTTCTGTGAAATCACTTCTTTTAATCGATTACCCATACTTGCAGTAATTTTTTCGCGACGCTTGCAGAGTTAAATAAATGTGATTAATCATTATTGTCACTTGCACGGTGTCGGCAGGCTCCACCTCCGGACCACATAACGTACGCTCAGCAGTGTGCACTGTTAACATGCGAGAACGGGGTCGCACACGGAAAAGTACAAAGATGAAAACTGAGAGAGCAAAGTCAGACGCACTTTCCATCATAAACTAAACATTCTAGAGAACTAAAAACGCTGTTATTACAATTTCTTTCCGAATATAAACAATATTTATATAATCGACTTCGTCTCTTTTAGTACTTTGGAATGGTGGTAGAAAAAAATATATTTCCATTTAAAAATTAAAGTAGTGACCCTATCTCAGACATTAAAAAAGATACAAACTAGAAAACGAAATATACCCCATTATCTACAACAACTTTGATTAAAACCATATCCGATACCTCAAACCGTTTCCAGGATATTTGCTGTGGAAAATGTAGGTGGCCCATTCTGTATAGTGAGGATAGGTTAGTTGGTATGTGTAAACAGAAATTTCCGATTCGCAGTGAAACTCGAAACTACTTGGCATTCACAAGCATTCAAATCTTCCTCCCAGAAATGATATTCTCGTATATTAAGTAACTTCTGCTTTCCCTCGTTATCATAATGTTATTCATCTACTTTGTTCGTGTGCGTCCCGTGTCATCCGTCAAGCAACTTAGTGTGCTTTGAAAATTAAGCTAATGCGGAGTTAGTAAGATTCGACCATAAGCCGTAACATATACACGAACTCAGACCTTTCTGGGCTGACAACAAACGAAGTCGGCGTCGATAGCCGAACTTTACAGGGCCATAGCTGCCTCTGGACAGAAGGGTCGCTGTTTCGAACCCCACCCGGGGCATGGAAGTTTGTGTGTACACAGTTACCATTACCTCCAAAATTACTTACCGTGGTGGCTAAATGACCATAGTACTTAAAAAGCGACCTTCAATAAATAAAGAAAACAACACACCGTACTTTCTAAAAACCATATTTTCTGCCGGCTGAAAAAATACAGGAATTGGGATCATGTTAAGAGGCTATTTCCAATGGCAGGTGTCGTCTGAGCAGATGTTGCCGTTGTGGAGCTAAATTTAGCCAGGTGCGCGGCGTGTACAGAGGTGTAGTTCGGCAGTACATTTATCAATCCGAGCGAGAACTATTGACAATTTTAGAGCGTAACATAAGTTCTGTATGTAAAGTTTGTAAGGCTTTATTTGATGTTCACTGTCAACAATTTCTGTATTACTTTTAATGTAAAAGTACATGAAAGTAATTATAATGAACGCCCATTAAATTTAATTTACACGTACAGTAACTTTAAAGTAGTGTACATTAAATTTAGTGTACGTATACAATTAAATTTAATGTACTTTTTGAGCGACTGTACTTGCTCCTTCAAGAGCAAATTCTTCTACTCTTAACACGACATGGCTTTTTGTTGACAGTATCAATATAACTCGTATTGGTGCATAAATAATCATTAACTTGTATACCAAATATTATTGAGTTAATTTTACCAAGAATTTATATTGATTATTTATTTATTGAATATGGATGAATGAATAAATATTTTACTTTTATTAATATGGAAAAAATTTATTTTCTTACCAAATACAGCACTTGAGAAATAAAAAATTCACAACGTATTATAATGTACTCTTCCTGGTGTTTTGTCTATCTTTTTGGCCAATTTAAAAACTGCAGAATCAACTGTTTTGCCTTCTTTTTGAGTACTTTTATCTTCTTATGTTGAATTTATTTTCATAATTTCCCTCAAAGTAATACTTTTATTATTAATACATAATATTTATTCAGCATTACTTTTTTACACAGTTAAATAACAAAAAATAATTGACGGAGGCAATATATTTGCTTATACGTAGGAACTGAGTATAAAAAGGAGAAAAAACCTACACAGTTAAAGAACAAAATGAGAAAGAAAATCGATTTAATGTGAAACAAACTATTAGTAATACTAGATGGTAAAATAACTATATAATGTTACCTTCCTTCTTTGGTTAATCTAGAAATTACTAAATCAGACAAATTATTTTTTGTTGTCATTTTTAAGATTGCTTCTAGGTCATTCGCACAGAACAATAAAGGATAGAAGTGCACCCTCAATGTTAAACGTCGGAAACAGAAGTCGCTCGCAGCACTCCAAAAGGCCTGGCAAAGAACTGCACACAACCGCCCGCACGGCGCAGCGTATGAAAGTTAATTTCACTCAATCGTCTTCGTGAAAGTTAATGGATATTAATAGGCTACATTCTACTGCAATTTTTCTCAGGTATAGTAATTATCAATTTTCGTAATGCACTTGGGTAAGGTCAAAACTGAGGAGAGTCATCTAATTATATGATAATGGCAGAAATGAAGGAATCTAAATAAATAAATAAATAAATAAATAAATAAATAAATAAATAAATAAATAAATAAATAAATAAATAATTGCCTTTGTTGTACAATTTATATTAAACGATACAGACTTCAACATTTTAATTTATTACCATTTCACGGCCCTTTGTATATTTTTTTAAGTTTGTATTTTCTGTTTTTCATCTATTACATATTTGTATATTTAAAAACGTACGCACTTTTTAAAAATAAGTTCTTCGGATAAATCACTTAACAAATAATGTATCATAAGGTGATTGGGAATTAGAGCAAAACCTTATCTTCAAATTATTTAAATGGTCATTTGTTTTCTAGAAATGTATACAAATATTCACGAACATTCTTTAAAAATATTACATTAAATAACGAATCATAATAAATCATTACATTACATAACAAAAAATACATATCTTCCTTAAAGTGTTATGTGAATACAGTAGGATACAAATTGCATACAAATAATCGTGAATGACACTTTAAATTAAATGCTAACCTCTATACTACGAAACATCATTGTATTTCACTAAGACAAGCGAATCGAAATGGAGAAAACTCGAAACTATAGCGAATGTGTCCGCTAAAACAAAATATATTGAAAGGCGAAACACACACATGAAGACAAAGAACACTAAAGGAACTCATGAACGTAACCAACGGCAATATGATTCACTCTTCCGCCATGTGGAAAACGCAGGCCGGCTGGATGTGACGTACAAGAAACAAGCGAAAACCACTAACCAATCATTGCTTGATATTCTTTCAACTAGCGCGTAATAGTAATACAACTCCTATTTACCTTCCTATGAATCCGAGGGCTGTTTCTAGTTTTGTAGAATAGGTATATTCAGAAACGTAATAGATGGCAATTATCACACCTTCAATAACGTCTTTACAAAATAGTGTAATTTTTTGTTCCAGGATTACAGTTATTTACTTTGGACTTACTTTGTCACACTCATTTCCTGAACATCAGTTCATTGCCTTAATTTGTTTGGTCCATTCTTATATTTAGAGAGCCACCTGCAATCTGCAGCACGTATCGATCAATGGGTGAAGATTAACAAATTTCCCATTTCATGAAAATAATATTAAATAATGTAAATAATGCAATAATATTAAATAAATAATACTGATTAATATTAATCAGACTTTACCTTCACAATTCCAATATGCCTGAATTGCTTCAGCTTCTCTAGATGTTAACGGTCAACCGCTCTAGGAAACTGCTATGATGAGAACAGGAAGTAAAGAATAACATTCGTTAGTTTTACACGCTTTCATATTAAAATGTTATGACATGATATTAAATTTGATTTACAAACGCACATTATATTTACATTGATTTTAATTTAAGCATTAAATCTAATGTACAAATACATTAATATCCTTTTAATGTACTTTGTACATTAAAATTAATGTGTATTCGTACATTAATCCACATTAAATTTAATGTAATTTCTGACAGTGTAGGTTCCGTATTTGGTGACATCACTTGTGTACTCTACTGATCATCATTCCTTTCTTTCTTGCACAAGATGTGTCACATACCTTTTCTTTCCATTCATTTTCCGGTTCACTTTATCCAGTACTCCAAAACTGAAAGAGTCGCAAAGGGAATTGAACCAATTAGTGTTCAAATCTCAGAACATGAAGTAACAAAATGGCCACGCAAGAGATTCAGCTCGTCGCGTGGCGCGCGGGCAGCGTGTTGGAGGCATGGTCTGCGCAGGAGCCGGAGTTCGAGTGGGACTCCCGCGAGGCGGGCTTGGTGCTGAGCGCCTTCTTCTACGGCTACGTGGCAACGACGCTGCCCGGCGGGTGGCTGGCGGGCCGCTACGGCGGCAAGTGGGTGTTCGGCGTGGGCATGCTGGGCACGAGCCTCTTCACGCTGCTGACGCCGCCGCTGGCGCCGCGCGGCCTCGACGCGGTGCTGGCGCTGCGCGTGCTCGTCGGAGTCTGCGAGGTCAGCCACCCCGACTCCCGACGCGCCCCACGCGCAATGGATGAATAAATCAATGATGAATGACGATGTATAAACGATGGACGAGTAATACATGAATGAATGAATGAATGAATGAATAAAAATAAATAAATAAATAAATAAATAAATAAATAAATAAATAAATTAATTAATTAATTAATTAATTAATTAATTAAAGTCTACGTTTTTGGCAAGACTTGGGTCATTGGCTCTGTTCTTCCACCTAATTGCAAAAATGAATTACGAATGAATAGTGGGTCATTCAAAAGCTTCAAGGAGATGGATTTTCGACGAGTGTGATAAAAACTAATGGGAGGAAAGTGGGGTTTAAAGAAAAACGCGAGTTTTTGCAACATCTTTGTTATTACTGTTAATTGTGAAAATGAATTATATTGTGAGATTACAAAATGTATTTTCAAGACCATATAAAACTTAAACCCCTTTTTCAAATATGTCTCGATTGCTGAATGTAAGTATAGGGGCCAAAATAGAACGCGCGTTGGGAAACGCTTCAACTACAAACGGATACGATAGATTCGCCAAAAAATGTTAATTTAGAATTCTAAGGATTATATATACTTTAATCACGTATTTTATGTCCAGTAATGTCAATGAGTGAAAAATGATTGCATAGTTTATTTTGTGCAAAATAAACCATTGGATTTCTAATCACGTATATTGCAGCAGTTAGGCAAAAAGAAGCTGATGTCAATAGAAATATATTTACTTTTGCTGGTTTTTGGGCGTCAATAAATTTCTTAAAGATGGTTTAAGTGATTTGTAAATCGGACATCAGTGTTTATTTTATGAAATAAGTTACATTTTTTTCGCAAACTGTTGGTTACATGATTCAAGTACAATATAAAATATCCTATGAAAGTTGAAATACACAGTTCCTCCATACATCGAATCTGAATGTTATTTCAATATTTATATATATATATATATATATATATATATATATATATATATATATATATATAAACACATTTTTGCAAATTCTTTTAAACAATTTAGGAGAAATTGGGTAAAATGAAAAATTCAACAATAATAAACAAATGTTTATTATTCGTACCACATATTTATTAATGTTAACAAGAAATTAGACTGCGTACATAACTGACCTAATATTTAAATGAAATTTTAAAAAAATCTGATGTCTTGTTGCACGTATGATTCATTCTGTTCAAAATGCAGTTCACACCTGTTAACCCACTGAAACATTTGATCTGTAACATTTTAACTCAATCAAAAACTGGCGAATTGTTTAACATAATTTTAGTACGTGTTTTACATTTTTATTTCATTGAAATAATTGTCACTTCAACGTCGCATTTGGTGTTAAATTGTGTTCGCCTGACCCCTTGCAGAGTCTCTTCGAACAGTCTCTTAAGAAAAGTCACTTCAGAAAGTCGCTTCGAAAGTCACTTCGAAAAGTCACTTCGAATAGTCACTTCAGAAAAGGAGTTCGATGTAGAAATAATTTTCGGTATATAGCAACGTTTTTAAATGAAACTTTCAAGGGACAGAAAAATATATCAATTTCTAGAGAATTTCGATGTATAGAGGTTCTATATAAGGAGCTCTGACTAGTTAAAAGCTACAAATACAAATACATTCTAAACGATTCACGATATCGAAATGAAGTTTCCGCTCAACAATGCGAAATAATGAAGCAAGTAATATGCCGTAGAAATACTGTTTGTAATATTTGTTTTCGATAAATCTATTTACCCTTGATTGTTTAAATGGAACTAAATATGTTTCTCACCATCAATGGATAGATCGTAAATGAGGAATTCAATGATGTGTCATTTGTTTATATTTTGATACTAGTTTGACTATAAAATTGACATGATATTTTAAATTAAACCGACAAAATTTCCTACAGCTCTTGGAGAAGGAGTACTTCACGACCTATTGATTAAAACTTTTTGAAAAATGAAAATGTCGAAAAAGAACAAACGTAAATTCTGAATAAATGATCAATTTTGAGTTTTTAATAATGCAATCATATCGATATAGCACATCAAATTCAGCCCATAACTAATTTTTCATTTGCTCTTTGCTGTTGTTGTTAAATGAGAAATTAAATCTCACTTACTATTTCCCTGATATTTATTTTTACAATTTTTTTAAATACTGACGATACTGGGGATTCAGGGTCTTGCGCACACATATCGTCAAGCAAGTGCTGCGTACAAGGTGCCCGTGTCAGTAATTTACAACAGGGTGAAAAGTAGAAAAGGCCCGATGGAGCGGATGGGACAAGGTGTGGAGGGAGATATAGTGGAATGTATAAAACAGCGAGCGAAAATGGGATACACCGGTAGTAAAGAAGAACTCTTGAAACTAGTGGAACAGTATGTTAAGCTGAATAATCTGAAAACTAAATTTAAAAACGGTGTTCCTGGAAATGATTGGTATTATTCCTTTATCAGCAGGCACCCCGAGCTATCTTTAAAAAGCCAGAGCCCCTCCAGAAATCCAGGGAAAATGACAGACAACCAGATGTAGTATACGATTTTTATGATCTACTAAAGAAAACTTTGGAAGGTGATATATCCCATGGCCCATTTGTCTTCCATGCAGACGAGACCGGTTATAATCTTGATCCCAGCAGACTCCGTGCAATTGGCGAAAAAGGGAAATCTCTCAGTCGAATTTCAGGAGGATCAGGGCGAGAATCTGTTACTGCGCTGGCCTGCGTCTCTGTAGGCGGAAACAAACTGCCACCTTTTATTGGCCCCAGTGCAGGCAAGGTGGGCCTCCCCTGGGACGCTTTTGCTGCCTCAACAAACGGTTGGATGGAGGAACTACCTTCTTCTACTGGTTCAAACATTTGTTATAACACTATCTTAGACTTACGTCTGAACAAAATAAACGAGCCCTTCTTATGTACGATGGCCATTTTACCCATATTAGTGTGAGAATTGTAGAACTTGCATTGGAAATTAATATTAAAATTATTAAATTTCTGAGTCACTTGACCGATAAGCTTCAGCCTTTAAATAAATGTGTATTCGGGCCAGTGAAAACAGCTTAGAACAATAGATTAGTGGCCTTTGGAAAAAGTCAGCCGGGGATAGGTACAAGAAGGCTACCCAAGAACACGTTCGCTTTTCTACTTGCGGAGGTGTCGAATGAGACGCTTACGCTAGAAAATATAATATCAGGATTTATGGCAACGGGCGTTCTTCCAGTTGAACCTTCTAAATTTCCAGATGACGACTTTAGCAAGGAAGATCTTGAGAAGTACTATGAAGAAAAGAGGGCAAGGTGCCAGTCATTGCCGGAAGTAAACACAACAGAAGTCATTGAGACCAGCACTACGGAAAATGGCGGGGCTGAAATTAATGATTTGTCGAATTTGTAAATAGATTCAGTAGATAGAATGTAAATTCCTGACATCGGTAGTCCCGTACAACATTCAATTGTTAATATTTTTCAATCCTTAATTCATGCATTAACTGGACGGGAATATGTTAATTTCAAGCCTCCAACAAGTAGTCAACCACACGTATTGGCACATGTAGCAGAAACTTCTAACCAGACGAAAGGTCAATCTACCGATTGTGTTGTTTCTAAAAGTTTGAGCTCTCTATTTGATCTACCCAATCATAAAATGGCCAAGAAAAAGGCAGTACCTAGACTTAAACAACTCACGTATGGAGAAGTGCTGATGACTGAAATTGTTTTGGAAAGGCTTAAAGAAGCTGAAGAGAAATCAAATACAAAGAAAGGCCCAAATCAGTGAGGTCGACCCAAAAATGGAAATCAGAAACCAGTCATCTCCAAAACTGATGCAGGAAATAATGAACATTGAAGCACCTCGCAAGAAGACGAAAAGTAAAATAAGAAAAATGGTAGAAACTGTGTCTGACAGTGAAAGTGACGAAAGTGGGAATATTTCATTGGCTCAGAATGGCGACAATGAGTGGGTCGAAGAGGAGGAAGAAGTAGAAATTCTCGTGGAAGAGAGAGCTGTCGAAAATAAAAAGGAAGGAGCCTTCACGTTGGTTCAGTTTAAAGGAGGGGAGAGGAACGCCCAGGGCCCTATAACTCCCATATAACGTGGTGGAGACCATTACGGTGGCGCGCTCTGCTGCATCACCTTCTTTACATGAACTAAAACACGAACTGTTGCCAACGATACTTTAAACGTGCGTGGCTACTTCGTGAGTTCGCGGGACGCAAGCAGGCCCATAATGTTGCAAAAGATATATGTTCGCGCATTCTTCAGGTTTCTTATAAGTATAGATTTTGAATAATAGTACATTTATAAGACACTTTTCGTATTTCTCACAAATTAGCAAATTTGTATGTGGGAAAGTTGGCGAGCCTAACCTGCAGCTGCACCCGGCGACACTAGCGCTTCCTATAGTAGCAACCTCGAGCTTTGTCCCCCGTTTTGATGGAGAGTTGCCGGGCCCTGGGAACGCCTCTACACACAGCCGAATGCCGCGTTCAGAAAGGAGGAAATATTCATAAAGCTGAAGAAATAATGGTATTGGAATGTAGGAGCGTGGTCAACTCTAGAAAAATCTTTCAAGTAATTGAAAATAAAGTTGCGTCAATAGAACACACTCAGATTGTAGGCATATTGCCTATCACTCGCCTGAAAGTAATTATTTTCATTAAAAGTACATGTATCTACCAAATAATACCCAAAGCATACTTGAAAGCATGTTCAAATGATTAGTACATACAGTTAACTAAATGTGTACAACGTATCTTGAAAAAACCGTTAACATTTACTCCACGTGTCCCTATATGAAGAATACATATGGTAAATTGTATAGAGGTTCTCACTGTCAAGACACTTTCTGGCATTCTCTTGTCTCTGGAGCTCACTCTATGACATTAAAATTAATTAGGACCTTATATTCTGAATAAGGATGGTTGAGAGATAATAATTTTACATTTTAGCTCTCTTTGCTCTTAATTTATTTTCTAATAATGTTCAAATTTATAAAGCCAAAAATACAGTTATTGGCACCAGCAGTGGCTGACATTAATGTAGTATTGTCACTGGCACTCAACACTTAATGGTGAAATGAAGTATAAAACACAATATGTTGAATTCATAAGCAGACGTAATTGTAGAAAATGATAAAATATTAGTAGTCGTAAGTGTTAACAACAGTGGATGTTTTAAACAAATGGATCCACATCAGTGTTCCACATCAGCAATCTTAAAGCACAAGTGGCAGACGTAGGAACCATCTTCTTCAGGAATAAGCACCTTGTGAATATCTGGTGCTCACCTCTCGTGAAACAGTTTAAAGCACAATGCACAGAGTAAATCTGTTGGCCCTGCGACTTTTGTACATTTCACCCTGCGGCACACGTGCTGCTCTCTCATATGCATCATTTCAATTATAGGTTATCTTGCTTCGCAAACTTACTCTAGGGTATTTCACACACAAATACACTTCTCTTGTGTGTTTATGTCCGTTTGCTCCATTGAAGCCTTTCCTCTTTTTGAACATGGCTTGGACCAGCCTCATTAGATGCATGGCTTTGTTGGATGGCCACTTCGGAAGACGAATTGGGTATTTTCATAGTATTAATAAGTCTTAAAAGCCAATTCTCCATCTTTTAAACCATCTCTAGCATGCGGTATCTTATGAGATCAATTCCAACAATTTCCTGAAATTCTTCAAGTCTGAGCAGCTTGATACCAGCTTCTGGTCTTACCCTCTCTAATGTCTTGCAAAGTGAGCTCCAATTCATCTGAGTTAAATCCATCTTTCTTTCTTCTTCTCAATCTTCCTCGATTTGACATGTGCCATTTTGATGTTGCTAAAATAAAAAATGTCTACAGACCTAATAACATCTACTGGCAATGCCACTGACTAACCGTTTGGCAATGATTGGCACTGAATATGAGGGCTTGGCACCCTGTGACAACAACTGTTAAAATTGATATCAGGCATTTTAATCAAATGCAATGAACAATTAATTAGTATTGGAGTTATACACTGTCTACATAAAAGTATAATATAATTATAGAAATTTACACAGTTATTGGCAAAGTGTGCCAAACACTGAAAATATTCCATCTTAAATCTTAAAAACGGAAGTCCGGTGTCTTCAGGATTTATAATCTTCCTTGTTCAGTGCCATTCAGCAAGTTGCAGCAACTTCTACTAAGCTCCTACTTTAGTAATAATAAATCACAGTTAGTGGCACCTCTCCAAACTATACACTCCATGATATAGCTTGTAAGCTCTTATCACTACAGGTTACATATAAAAATTCTTCGTAAAAACTCCCAAAGTAAGTTTTAAAAAGACGATGCAAGAATAACACAGAATAAAACCCAAGTTCTGAAGAAAGTAGCTTATGCCTTTCCTTAAGAAACGGTCCTTTTCAGCAGAAGGCAGTTGCACCAACGAGGTATCAAGCAGTCATGACAGAAAACGGAACACTAATAGTGGGTAATTCCGGAACCACAAGGACAAGCACAGAACTGCAATTACAGACACGTCTCAAAAATTTCACTGCTGTTCACCAAAGCCTTATTATCGGAAAGAATATATCCGCGGTGTCAATGACTGCGCGGGTGTTAACCACTGTATAGTTTACCCTATGTTAATGTGATTATTATTGATGGAAAATAAAAAATCGATGAGTCCATTGTTATAGGATGAAAGCAATCTCAATATTTGTAGCGATTCAATTTTTTGGATGTTGGAAATAGGTAAATTAATTTTTCCCTTGGAGATTGCAGTAATTGTTATCGCCGCATATTTTCGTAATATTTTAAGCGTCATAACGTTTCAAAAAAACTATTTTTATCGAGTATATCCATGTGGAACTGACGTTCCAATCCAGGTTGCCAACCTTGACGCTAAGAAAATATATTACAGCTCGTCGGCAAGGCCGTCATTTCCTTAGCTTATCAGCCAGCAAACCCAAAACATAAAAGAAACATGCTCGTTTATCGTTCACACTTTCCTTATTGCTGTAATCGCAGTATCTAACATGACCGTTGTGCAGAAGATAAAATAGTATGAATTTTTCTATGTTCATTAAAAAAATATTTAAGGTATTTTTCAGAGAGAGGTTTTGTTACTTATTATAGCGAATTGAAATTTTAAAAATAGTGTACTATGAGCCTCAGGATCAGACAAAATATTTTTAAACTGGTTGATTAACGAAGCATTGTTCCATGAAATAATTTTTCATAAAAATGTATATGAGTAGCTTTAGTAGTGAGTGGATTTAAACCCGTGAATAGAAGCGATGTTTAGTCGAAATTGAATTTTCTCAAATTCGCTCGTTAAGAGAGAATTTGGCCCCTTCAGAAACTTGTAAGGAATCGGAGGAAATAAGACACACTTGTAAGGAATCGACATTATTTGTATTATCTCTGCTCTCGTACAAAATACCTAAGTGGTTAAAAAAGTATACTTTACATGTTAGTTAATTGTGACTTTCCTAATAATCTTTTAAGAAATAGGGTTCGAGTTAATTTAGTATTTCTGCTTTTCTAAGAAGTAATACCCTTTTTTTTCAGAGTGATAAAGAATAGTAAAATAGTTAAATAATGTCATTATTAAAACAATGATTTTATTTTTAAATGGCTCTAAACTATTCTTCGACTCAATTGAGGCTCACTCCGTTAACCCTATGAGATATAAGCGCAAGTGACTATCGTAAGCAGTTTTATAATTAATTATTAGGGACTAAATTGTTTAATTCATTTATTATCTTTGCTAGGGTCCCATTTTTGTTGACGGTCAGACTTTGAAGTGATTTTTACAGGGTAAATAGAAGGCCACGAACATAATAACTTGATGTAGTCACTTGTAAAAGAGGTTCTTTCAGGGTATGCAGAACGTGCTAAAAGTGTGGTGATGCTCAAGTGTTCAGATAAATCTGTTAATGCAGAAAAAAAGGACCGGCGTCTGGCCACATCGGCTACTACTGACCTTAATGCGAAGGTAGTATCTAGATTAAACCGTATTGTTTCATTAAGTGATTATTGTACTTGAATTAATATAAAATAAAATATGGCCTATCGCCCACGAGCAGTAACAATTCCTAAGTGCAAAATAACTTTTATCACTCGTATCACAAATAACTGTTATTGCCGATAATGAACTCTAAAAAGGAGAGAAGTGGGGACAAAATTAAGGAATTTCCCAGTCCATAGCACTTTTGTCAGAGTACTGCATCGGCATTCGCCTTGTGTTGATTTTAGAAAACTATCGATAAAAGCGGCCGGCTGCTAGAATTCTCCTCCACGTGGCCGCTGAAATCGACCTAGCTTTATAGCTAGTGTGGAAAAGCGCTATCGTCGGAACTGGAAGCTAAGAAACTCCCGGTGCAAGTCGTTGCAGTGGCAACCGCTGATGGCAAGATGAGCTACCTCAGCCGGTGGTTTCGGAAATGAATGCTCGTCGCAGTGAAGAACGGGCCCGAGATGGGCTCAGGCGCTTGAGACGAGCGGCCGAGCGAACGCCCCACGGGGCCACTCGGCACTCGAGCGAAGGCGCAGGGGGAACGAAAAGCACTGAATGAGAAAGAAATTATTCTAACCTGACCATTGTACGCAAAGGCGCTGATGCGAGAGCGTGCACGAGTGTCGATAGACCATTCGCCATCCATCGATCAGGCCATCCAGGGATTCAATTCCAGTTCCATCGATGAATTTGTGGAGCAAAAACGTGTTGACAGCAAATTTTTTCGGGGTTCCTCTGTTGTCCCTTCCAACCTCATTTCACCATTGGAGACGATGGAGATGGTGGTGGTGGTGATAAGAAAAGGGAAGGGAAGGGACGAACGCGCTTGTTGCCTCGTTTTGTAGGGCGTAGCTCCGAGATTCGCCGGAAAGATTGGGAAACCACTGAAGAGCCATCGGCCTATGAATTCGATGTCGCAATGCGCGAACTTGCAGAGGGCAACACCAGTAAATTTGCAAACTTCATTCGAATATTAATATCCACTACATCGACTTTCGTACAGTAATTTTTCAACGACTAATGATTTTTAAAATTAAAAACGTACATGAAATGGTTACGTGGCAGCTGGTATGATCTGTTCAAGCAATGCCATCTACCGGACATTCACCTACATCTCTCAGCATTAGTTAAGGAGAAGCACTGTCCAACTTCAAGCGAGTAATACACAAGACAAGTTAGAATTAAATTTATTAAAGAAATGCTATGAAAGTTCATTATCTGTTCTTATTTCTTATCAGATTCATAAATGATACATTCCTCATAAGAGTTTTCTGAATTCCGAGTTTTGGAAACAGGGAAGAGTATGCGTTATTCATCTCCCGACGTATTATCTCTGCACACTAATTCATACAATCCAATGAAACATAATATAACAATATCCAATGTTTGATTACTTCTCAATCATAAAATAATTGATCAAACACTTCTACTATAATGAATATCGTACGTCTAAGGACTAAGTCTTAACGATTATCATTATGTAGCGAGCTAATAAGGAAATTGTAAACTGAGAGGAAAATATAATATTATTCAACCTCATAAGCAATTTATTTTAGTTTTTATCAGTATTTGTACACGTTATTCTATTATAATTGGGGTTTTTAACTTAATTTTTAAATATTTTTCGGGGGCAGAGGCTGAACACACTTTTATGCTTGGGAGCCCCGCAGAAGTACCTAACTCCAGCCCTGATTAGAATACCAGTAAAGGCAGCCACCACCAGCGGCGGGCAGCGTTAAATTAAAGGCGTTAAATTGTTTGTGGCTCCAGAGTACTTTGCACGGCGCGGGTTTGATCCAGGCAAGGGGATGGTCTAATCACTTTGCACTTTCGTGCAGTAATAACCATTATTTCACTATCTTTTCATTATAAACTATTATTTAATACTTTTTAAAATGTCTACAAATTTTTAAGGATAAAAAATCCTTGGGAGGGAAAGCAAAGCCGAATGTCCCACATAGATGAAGTGCATGTAAGAGGTCCTAAAATCTGAAAGACGCTTCTAAGCCAATTCTTATCACTGTTTGGTGGCCCCAGTTCGCTGCACTAGCAAAAGGAGCGCAGCGAAATGGGTGAAGCGAGCGCGGTGGTGCGCAGGGGGTGACGTGGCCCAGCATGCACCAGCTGTGGGCGCGGTGGGCGCCGCCGGCGGAGCGTGCGCGCCTCGCCAACTTCGCGCTGACGGGGCTGTCGCTGGGGCCTGTGGTCGGGATGGCGGCGTGCGGTGCGCTGGCGGAGGCCGCTGGCTGGCAGGCGACCTTCTACGCCACCGGTACGTACCTCCTTGCCCTTCTGCAACGCTATTTCAGCCCTGTTGTAAGGAAATTAATGCTTATCTGCACGGTTCACTCAATGGTCACGGTTTACTTTTCAGTACGCATATAGTACAATAGAAGTACGCGCACCGCAAAGATGTCTGTCAGAGTTCTATAAAACTGGGTACTGTAATGTTAACAAAACATTGGGACGGATTCAACATGTCTGCCGTCTTACATATTGAGAATGATCCCAAGAGTACATACTAACATAGTATATTAGTAACATACTCGTAGTATATTACTTGTAAGTTGTATTGTAACTATAAACTTGTAAGTTTTCTTGGTCAATATGTATGGTGCTACAACACCACTGCTCTCGCAGTTTAGCTCATTGGTCAGTGTGTGCGCTTTTTATGGCGCGTCCCCTGGTTCGATTCCCGGTCGGGCAAGATTATAGTGTGCGTTTTTCTCGCAATTTCCCAGTATGTGTTGCTGTGTGACGATGAGAAAACTCACTTCTCAGGTTGAGAAGGCCAGAATACGACGTAGAAATGCCTTCGTGCTAACAGCACGTATCCCTTAAACCCTTGGCCATGAGGCCGGGACGCTACTGGCCCGTTCGCGGGCTTCGGCGTCAAGTACAGACAGCAGCACTACTTTCTCGTAGTATTTGTGAACCTTAGTACACAAAATTAAAATACTGCTTAAACCCGCAAAAGTTACCAACACTCAAAAAATTATGTACCCAACTCGTATGAAAGTGTATTTGGCGCATTTACGTAGAAATGCTGGTCTCGGCTCCTATCGTCGGCTCGTCCTTCTACCTTCCGTTCGCACACCAAAGACTCACTTTCTGCACTAGTTTCGTAAATAACTATTTATCGTTTAGTAGATTTATCAGAACATATGAATACAAATCTAGATTTCCAAATATATTATATGTAATTAATTGTGTTAAATGAACCATAGCGTAATGTTAACACGGTAGGCACAAACGTTTAAGCAATGCTCATGGACCAATGACCACTTCGCTGCTTGCTGCCGCTTATGGCATTGAATTAATGAAATATTATATAGTATAGGGCGAAGATATAATAGTAATTTACTATAAATTTGCCGACGACCGCATAAGAAACACATAAAAACCCTACCTTGTAAATGCCCATATCCCATGCATACCAAGAAGCAACTAAATAAGCAAATATTTATATCTTAATATATGTCTTCATATATTGTAACGTTTCTCCGTGGTGAATTAAAACCTACACAGGTATTATTTAAACAAAAATGTTTATTCGTTAACAATGCTACACTAAAAATACTTGATTTATTTACAGATATATTACACAGCCCTTATGTTCTTCACTTGATTATTTTTCTTACACACGACTCCGTTCTCTTCATTATAATTATTTTCACAGTTCACTTCTTCTGATTATTTATTTACACTTCTTCTACACTATCACACTGATGCACTGTCCACGGTCCACTGCGCTGACCACAATTCACTGCGCAGACCACAATTCCTTGCGCAGTCGAGGGTACACTGCACTGCTGTTTACCGCGATGCTCACTTCACAGCTCAGCTTCCACTTCAGACATACTACTGCATACTCACAATGACGGACTGACTGCTTACTACTTCAACTCTTACTTAACTACATACACTGACTGACTCGAAACCGCTTACCGCCTGACTGACTGACTCGCAGCCGCCGGCAGTGGCGAATTTATACCTGGCCGACGCCTGCCTCGAGCCATCGGGAGCGTGCGCAACATTTCTACGCGACTCACAAATAACCTGGAACCGTCCAGTTCGGGGGGAGGGGGCGCCGGTAGATGACGCAATTCGCGCAGCGAATCTCAGCAGGTGATGCAATTATGTTTACGAATTATGTTTACGTAAAGCACTCGTTCGAACAAGTAGCCCAAAGGTTCCCGATATTGATAAATATAACGAATTATTTCTTCTCGGCACCCAAAGGTTACTTTATTTGTTTTTATCAGTGACTATGCTTTTTTACTCTACACACAGGCTTGAATTGGATACGAGGATCTCGTAAGCGATGATATCTTATTAAAGTGAAGAAAAAATTGCAGCCGTTTTTGAAACAAAGGTGTTTGAGGGTTTTGAAAACGTAGAAATTTGAGCTAGTTTTCACAGAAAATGGTTGAGTTTTCGAGAAACTTTATGGGATATTATTTAAAGCACATGTACTCATAAATATATTAATGTGAACCAATCGCCGCTAATGTAAATATTAACGACGAGAGGGACAAGTCACAAAATTAAAATTTTGTAATTTTTGAAAAAACAAAAGAATAGAGCAATATGGCGTTTATGCCATATTTTATAGTACATTTATCACTACGCCTATCAAAAGTTTAAAGAAAAAAAGTGATGCTGTTTTTGAAAAATTAGGTTTTTGTAATTTTTTAAAAATTATCAGAATAAATTGAATTACTGAGCGACCCCAGAGAGAGTGAGAGAGAAAGAGAGAGAGGAGATGTGAGAGGGAAGATAGAGAGGAGAGAGGGGAGAGAGAGAGAAAGTAACTTTGGAAGGGGAGGCCCATTTTTTGCATGCGCAGTGAAGGGTTTTTTGACTCTGCGACATGCGACATTGATGTTGATATTTTTAAAACCTAGACTTTGTATTTAGACATGCTCAGATATCTCAATGGTATTATTAATTAATGTAATATGAAATAGTGGCCAACACGAAAGTAGTAACTACATTTATGTTGTTCCAGAACAACGTAAACAATAAATACGAGCCATTGGCGGTTCGTAGAACAATATACACGTAGCTTTGATTTGGGATTTGGACATTTGTGGAAAATAATTTTTATTTTGAAACACTTCTTATAGAGAAATATATGGAATATAGACAGCCAATGTTGAAAGGTTTTAGTAAAGACATTAAGGTCGAGTCAAGATAATTGATTATCGTGAAACGAGTTGCAACGAAATAAAAATTAATCACAAAAATTTGTGAAACAAACGAAAATGAAGAGGGAGAAGACATTTGGTCATCGATGCGAGCACATGCAAAGTTAGCTCCAACATATAGCTGTTGTGAATGAAAATAGTCTTGAGTAGGGATGTCCACCTGAGGCTTTCACAAATAATTAATTATGTAAACATTGCAAGATATTTAACTTCGGATTTAAGACATTCAGTGAACTTCAATATTAAGACACATGATTACTGGTGAAAACGGAAATCTTCGCTGATCCTCAACTTCGACAACGCGGGCCACGGATAAAACATCTTAGAAGATATTCAAATTCGATTCTTTGCAAAGAAGTAAGTCAGAATAGCTAGCCTAGACCCAGAGACCTAATACGGGAGAGTATGTGTAATTCTGTCGCAGAACTAGTTAAAATTAGCTTCGGCTATTTTATTGGGAAACAGATTCATCATGTGAATCCTATCAAAGAGACAACTGCCGTTTTGAGATTCAAAATCGAGTCGAAGGAGTTCTTGCGTAATCTCTGCTCAATCTTCCCGGTAGAGGAATAATAACGGAAGATCTTAGAAGTAAAATAGGTCGGTATCTAAATTAAGATGTGAGAAAATGGAATTTTCACCCAATTGGTTCAATTATATTTTTGAAATCAGTTTCCAAATTGGAATCGATGTTTTGAGTAATTCTTCAAACACTTTCATATTTACTTTTTGGTATTCGAAGGAAGAAGGAAATATGTGAACAAGATAGTTTTATTTTACTATTACAGATGATACTATTACCGTTTTCCTCTGTTCCAGCATCACTAGTTTGATATGTGGAGAAAAATATATTGAGATGCAAAGTGACGAAAGCATAAACCGCCTGCACGAAAGTTCGGCCCCTCCCGCGCCGCAGGCCGCCGGCCGCGTCGAGGACTCGCAACGGGCGGGTGACGCCGAGGAGTGGAAGGGGGAGTGGGGTGAGGCGTTTCTCCAAATTCACTTTACGACGCTCCTGTTCATCCGATTTGCATGATTGACACGCTGTTGGATTAAGGGAGCCCGACGTCATCGCGCTATAAGCGCACATTTTTAAAATTTCATCCCGGAACTATGAAAGCTATGAGAAAAGCTTTTTGGAGGAAATATTTTTTCGAAAAAGAGCTTCTTAGCGTAAATTCTGTTTTAAAATGGAGACATATGACGTTTACAGATCGAAAATCAGCGCATTGGTACAGACGTTTTTGGTAAACTAAATTTTGCTTATTTTGGTGCTGCCACGTGGTGGCGACAAACTGTACTAGAGGCAGTACATTTAGCCTTAACGCAACCAAGCAGAGAAGTGAAAAGCCATTCTTAACGGCTGGGGTCCGTTAAGGATATAAGAGTCTGCCGTCAGCTAAAAAAATGGAAACAAATGAGTTGTAGCATTGCTGTCGTGATATGAAAGTAAGTGATCACGATGGCAGTGGTAGTAGCTAAAGATGACGTATGAAGTTATTTGCTGTTTATCAGTGTTAAGATGATACAAAGTCTGACCTATGGTATTCAGTTCTATCGTGTCGTTTGGATCCTCAACGCAACTCCCGAGATGCAACGCAACACACGCAACTCACGGATCGCAAGACACGGAACTCAACAAAAATGAGGACCAATACCTTGTTATTGATAGCTCGTATGACAATTCCTTCATGCAACTTATACTTTTAGCACATCAAAGAAGGGTAGTTCGCACTTAATTGGCCAATCCCGTTTTTCCCTTTTTTCTTGATATTTTTCAACTTTAAGAACGATCACTACAATTATAACCACGAGCGAGAATTAACACGTCAATAAATTTTGACATTGAAACATCAGGGATGCAAAAGGTTAAAACATAAAACTTCATTTTTTAAGCAACCCATTCTAATATTCTGAAAATACAGATATAGCGACCTTCAAAATTTCGCGAAACTAGATTAATTATTTCGATTTCCTTTTCATAATCAACGAATAGCCTTTATCAGTGTTTGTCACCTGCTCCATATCGGTACCAATAAAGACGAGTTTTAGTCAATTTGTAGGAAAAGAGGTAGTGATGAGAAGCACATTTGGCTCCCGTGTTGGGCCACTCTCCAGTCCTGCCTGTGGCGCTCGTGCGACGCCTGTGTTGTGCGCAGGCGCGGCCGGCGCGCTGTGGTTCGTCGCGTGGATGCTGGTCGTCAGAGACTCCCCCGACGTGGACCCGCGCATCACCCCGCAGGAGAAGAAGTTCATCCAGGACGCGCTCGGATCCGTCAAACCGCTGGTAAGCGCCGCTTGGAAATTGCGCAGATCTTCTTCCGCCCGTTTCGCTTCCTCTGCGGAGTAGAAAACTTCTAGGAATGTGCAAATTTGCTTTTCTTTGGTGCTGATCACATAGAATATTAACGACAAAGTAAATAACTTTGTACTTTTGAATGACGTAGTAAAACGTGTATACGTATTTCAAAAAAATAACTAAGAAATAATAATGTTTTTGTTTATTACAATTAGCCATTTAAATTAAATAACACCAATACTTTTATTATATATTTTGTTATTAAACGATTTTGTTATTAAACGAAAGATTTTTACCTCCAGGAAAGTAGAGTGCGCTACGTGCTCAATTTTATACGTAGACCACGAATGTCACAATAAAAAGGTCATATCACGTCACAGTTTTTAAAAGTATCGTATCTTGAAATCGTATTATACTGTATTTTACTATGAAAGCAAATAAATTGCACCTGTAAGATATGTAGATTCCATACGCATAAAATCTATTTAAAAATAAAATATTTGTTCAGTTCATCTATGTCATTTTGATGTCATATCAACAAAATTAGGTTTTCGTGTTTTTACCTTCTTTATTCGAAGATTACCGTCTTTATTCTTGCGTCTGGTGGTCGCGCTCAATTACGAGTAGGTATTTGTAGATGTTTTGAAAACAAGCCAAGTGCTTCCTCGTGTTTTTTAATGCGCATCATCGAACGGTATTACTATAACCCCTTACTTTATCGCAATAATACAAGTATCCAACTGTTAGGGTGGCAGATTTTGAGTCAGTCGGTGTCATGCGGAACTGTACCCGCAGTGCACGTGAAGCTTGTGTCTTGTTCGCGCGTGCCTCAAATACATTAATACATTATAGTGCTGTTGTTTTTATAAAGTGAAATTCTACATGATCTGTGGGATTGAATCGGTTCAATAAATTGCAACACGTCATTTCGCATTGAAAGTGTGCGAATCAACCAGATAACGTCTGTGTGGAAGATTTACACCAAACTTCAAAGGGAAAAAAATGAAATTACAAAATGTGCATAATCTTTATTCTTTGGTTGTCGTATTTATGATCAGGACAAATCAACGTCTGCTCACCAGTACAATGTCACCTATACAAAGAATCTTAGGTCGTGGTTGTTGGGAAAAATCAAATTATTGTTATTCGCTCTACCAATGTTGTGGAGAACACCGACAAACCATTTTAATTTTCATATCAGCACATTATTGCATGAACATGCGTAATCCATTTTAACTTGTTTTACCTCATATAAAGCAAGTTCATAAAATCAGTGTGTTCGATTCCTTTGGAATCACCTACTTTTATCCAGGAGGTAGGAAAACAAATTGTTCCCTAGTGTAATCGAGAAAATGGCTTTCTCAATCGCCAACATATAACCTTATTACAGACCTACGTGACGTCTATTTAAGTGATGTCACAACCGTTGTGAACTTGTACCATTTTCCAAATGAAAAGGTTTGTTGTAATCAAAATTAATATTTTATGACTTCAACATTTTTATATTTTCTTTAAGTTCAACAAATTGAACATTCCAAGAATGTAGTTATTGAACATCTGTTTCCAGACAAGTGGACGGTGGAGGACCGTATTACTTGCGGCAGAAGTTTATTTTCTGTTTCGAGTTATTTTATTGAACGGAAAATCCATTACCAAAAACCATTACATATTACCAAATTATACACACACACACAACATATATATATATATATATATATATATATATATATATTATATATTGGTGTTGTGTGTGTGTGTGTGTGTGAGTGTGTGTGTGTGTGTGTGTGTGTGTGTGTGTGTGTGTGATGTATATACATATATATGTATTGTGCACATGTTCACGAAGGAAGCGCGCCAGCCCCCGATAATGCAAGTCTGTTCTCACATTGAAGTCTGTTCCTATTCATGGTCCCAAGTCGACGACGGTCGGTGATGACGGGAGTCACACCTGTGTATCCGATTCATGCTGTTGTCAGGCAACTCCTCAAGCAAGGTGTTCGGCAGGTCACGTTCTGATGCAGCGATGAGATTTTATGACCTTCCAAACATCTGTGCCTGCGAGGTCTTACAATAAGGGCAAACATCACATACGTAACTCCGTTATATGAAATTTCCAACTGTATGTTCGTGGGCAAAATGTTATAATTTACTACCCTTCTACATGATCCAAAATTGTATAGAATTTTTTCAATTATAATTTATTGTTAATATTTAGTTAAAATGTGTGTCTATTTCCATTTTAATTGGGAAACTCCAAGAATCAGAAGCTACATACAACATCAGACTAAATAATTGATTAAGATTCGGACACTATAATAAAAATAATTTATAAAATATTATTTTGGAATGAAAGCATAGTAATTCTGAAATTCTTCATTTCTATATTATGGCATTCAATTCTGTAAATGTATCTAGATAACGATTTCTCCCTACCAATGAGTCACAACTTTGCAAATAATATCGGCAAAAGGCTGATTTGAAGAACACAGGGGTAAAAAGTAGACTTCCCCTTTATCGTAAAGAACGAGAAGAAATCGACTCACTTCCTTGGCAACCTACTTTACCAAATAATCTACGAATGCTGCCTAGGGTCTCCGAATGTAAACTTTAGCTGGATTTTGAAAGCAACTGATTACTCGTGGTGAAATACTCTAGCAGTAGAACTATAGATGCAATAAATTTAACAGTATTATTATTTTACTTTGTACCTTTAATTATTAATTTATTTTGCTGGTATCGCCTTTCATTCTCTTCAAAACTTTGATATTTACATTTTTTAGACATTTAAAATCGGTTCGAGTTCTCGAACCGATTTTAAATGTCTAAAAAATGTAAATATCATATATATAAATGAATCGCAAAATGTGTTGGTAAGCGCATAACTCAACAACGCCTGGACCAATTTGGCCAATTCTTTTTTTTTTTTTTTTTTTTAATGTTCGTTTAAGTTCAAGGATGGTTTTTACGTCGAGAAAAATTCGAATAATTGCCGGAAAAAACCTAAAAACAGCCCTTTTCTTTTTCCCATACAAACGTTTTCTAACTAATACGTAGAGTCAATTTGAGCTTTATAGCTATTGTATAAAGCACTCATTGTTGTGTAAACAATGTAGGTATGTTCTTAACGTCAAAGAGTCAATTTGCACTTTATTACCGTTATACAAAGTTCAAATTCAATCATATCTATCAAAACTGTGTGCGTTGGAGCACAGAATACATCGTCGGAGAATTTAATGTCGCGTTCCGAAACTATTAAGAAAATAATCTATAAAATAGATATGCCTCCTAATACACGAAGCAATTTAGGTAGAAGAATCCGAAACGCTACAAACCAAGCTAATTACCGATCTAATAATGCTGCACAAGAACGTGAGCGCCGAAATGAACGTGAAAGAATTCGGATATCACAAACGCGTGAAGCGCGAGCGCTAGCATTCACATACGCGCAAGTTTGATCGGGTTGCTTTCATTACGATGTGTAATTGACTTACAGTAACTACCAATGTGTTGTTATCGTTCTATGAGCTCGTTTGCTCAATTTGTAAGGCATTGAATATAAAAACGAAGCTAATAGATTGTGTTGGCGAATGGTAAATGAAATTGATACCATTGGACCACCACCAGAGCCATTGTAACTCATTGGTTTCAGGATAGGACAGATTCCATACACTTTTTGATAAATATCAATAATATGACAATTGCTTTCAAATGACTTCATGTGGGTCAACAAATGTAGTTCGGGAAAATTGTATGCCAACTTTGAAGTTGTATTATAGCAGTTAATCATAATTATTTTATGTTCTGTCTCCTAAGTTAAGATGTGTCACTAATCTTCAATTCTTTAATATTAAGATCGGAATCATCACTTAGTCAAGAAATTTAAACGAAACTTGATTTCAATTGAGGACATGTGCTTGATGATGTCAAACGAACTATTAATTCAATTGGTCTTGGCCGGCCAATCGTCCAATGCATGATGCTTTTAACCAAGAGTTATCGAGAAAAACTGTATGTCTCAAAACTTTGAAGAATTAATTCAAACAGATCTTCCACTGATGAAATGAACAAGAAGTATGTTATTTGAATCTCTTATGAAAGTAACAAATGATGAACTGGAGGATTTACTTCTTAGATGCACCTGGTGGTACAGGAAACCTTTATGGTTTCATTAATATTAGCAACGATTGCTCACATAATAAAATTGCACTTGCACTCGTTTCGTCGGGAATCGCACGCAACTTTGCTTGAATGTGGTCGAACAATTCAGCATTAAAATTGCCATTAAATATGCAAAGCAATGAAACTCCGACTGCAACATTTCGAAGAACTCTGCAATGGCAAAGGTCTTGCAGCAATGTAAATTAATTATTTGGGATGAAATGCACGATGACACATAAAATATTTGGAGGCTTTAGACAGAACCTTAAAAATCTACGGAGCAATCATAACATTTTGTGTGGTGCAATAGTTTTTTATGCAGGGATTTTTCGTAAACATTGCCAGTGATCTCACGATCAACACCAGCTGATGAACTCAATGCATGTGTAAAGTCTCCAATTTGTGGAAACATGTACAGTACTTCATTTAAGCAAGAATATGCTGTCGAGTTGCAAAATGACCATTCTGGAAACATATTCTCTAAACATCATTACATGGTAATGCATTTCCTATAGACATGTTGATGGCTGCCATTAACTTTCCTCAAATTTTTGTCAGTTAACGATAAAAGATGAGCTTATTCAGGTGTTTCCAGATGTTTCTCAAAATTAAAGAACCATGATTGGTTGAGCGAACGAGCTATATTGGCTGCAAAAACATAGTGTAATGAATTAAATTTAAAATTCAGAACAAATTACAGGCGAATCGAGGATATATAAATCGTTGATTTGATAACTAACCAAGATGATGTAGTGAACTATCCACAGAATTTTTAAACTCGCTGGATTTGCCAGGATTGCCACATACAATCTTCAATTAAAGTGTCGATCGGTCGTTATAATGTTGCGAAATATCAAACCAACACGTCTTTGCAACGGCACACGGTTAACGATAAAGAAATTCTAAACCACGTGATAGAAAGAACTATACTGAAAGGAAAGTATAAAGGAGAAGACGTCCTCATACCGCATCCCAATGATTCCGACTGACGTGCCGTTTGACTTTGACCCTTCTATGACCATAAAAAAGTCCTCAGGGCAATCATTTAGTGTTTATGGTATTAATCTGGAAAACCCATGTTACTTACATGGTCAATTGTATGTTGCCTGTTCCGTGTTGGAAAACCATCAGATCTGCTTGTCTATGTGCCAGGTAATCAAACAAAAAACATCGTATATCACAAAGCACTACAATGAAAATAAAACTGATTTTTGTTAATAATTATGATTAACAATAAAGCGATTACTTACTTTTAAATGCTTATATATGTTTTATTTAATTATATTTCTTATTCACAACGCCCTATCACCAGGGTGACGGTTCTGTTCAGGAGAATTTGTTGCCCAGACTATAAAATATGTAGGGGAAAAAAAATTACAAACCTTTTGGCAGGACGAAGTCTGTCGGTTTCGCTAGTATATATATATGAAACGCTACTAAATTACTTGCGATTCTGTTAATCGCCTCTTATTGCATTGTTGACGTTTCTGTTAATTTATCGAAGTCATATTTCATTAGATGTATATTGCAGAATACAGACTGCTTTGTACATTGGTATAAAATGGCGACTGATGTAAATCATGCGAATTATTATTTGAAAAACAATATGTCAATCAAAGCACTTATGCGAAAAAATAGTTTATAGCAAACGCGGTGATAGTAAGAAAGTTGTGTGTTTGAAGTGTAATACCAAATAAGTAAATAAATATCATATACGTAGTGTACAACTATACAAACCCAATATGTACTAAAAGACGACGCATCTTACTACTAAGTTACATCAAAATAAACGACGCATTGGGTTTGAAGAAGTAACTTGAAAAGCTAGAGATCCCCAAAGATACATTTTTTTTATTTATTATAGTCGCATCAACAGAAGGGTATAGTTTTTGTGATTTTAAAATGTCCGTACCCTTTGCATGCGCTGTGATTATCCAATAGTCGAATCCCATTGGAGCCGCTCGCAGCAAAGCCATTGATTGCTTGGTGTGCGCAGGCGGCGGGCGTGCGGCGGCCGTGGGGGCGCATCCTGCGCTCGCCGCCCGTGTGGGCGGTGGCGGTGGCGCACTTCTGCGAGGGCTGGGGCTACACCACCTTCCTCACGCAGCTGCCCACCTTTATGACAGGTACGAAGCTCACCGGGAGGTGCTGGGGTTCGAGCACCGGCGGTACCGGATTTGCTTCACTGGCGAGAGAGTTTGGGCGAATTCAGCCGCTGTCTGGAGAGGAATTCTAGCTGGCGGCTGTTTACTCCGATCACCCCACGCAAAAGCCGGATCCGTTCCTTCGGAGAGCATGCGATCTTTCCTTCCCATTCCTTGTCCTTTCCTCACCCTTTAGCAACACACATTTACATTTATCGTACATGCACTGCTCTACCACATTTGTCGAGAGCGTAGACCTTGTTCCAGCTGAAGCGGTTGTACCTCGAAAGGAAATCCCCGGAAAGCGACGAGTAAGTCGGCGCCGGATCTCACCATTCTGCGGGCGAGAAGCCCTGCCTCCTCCTGGGACGGGACTAATGACCAGAGCAGTTGAAGAACCAATCGATCTCCGCCCGGGCCCTCGCTACACGCGAGGCGCTGACTGGGGGCTGTCAGTAGAGGCAGCGAGGGTGCTCGTGACACAGTTATTACCCCTCCTGTGAAGAGTGAATCATCATCATCTGTAGTTAATTCGTTGGATTGGCAAGTACCACGGAAATATGTTTCGCACAAAATTCTTTCAATGGTATTACCTCGATATTGGTAGTGCTGTAGACTTATGAAACCCCTCAATTGATTAGTGTTTTCTGGAGCGTCAACTACTTTGATAATTCTTCGCGTAAGTATAGTGCATTGCGGATGGTGGCGGTGATCTTCCCCGCTAAATGGCAAGAACCTGCGACGACCTCCGCTTGCGCTTATAGTCTTTCCCCAACCAGGTATCTCACCATCCGGAATTAGCTTTAAGCTCCCGACATGTATGGTAGAGTAGAGCATATAAGTGTGTAAGTAAAGGTGAGGATAAGACAAGGAAGATGAAGGAAAGATTGCGTGCGGTCCGTGACCCTTTGTTAGGGTACTGCTCCGGCATACGTCCAGTTTTGATAGGCCGCTACCAAAACCGGTGAATGCAAATGATGTCTTAGCTTAGGGACAAATGCAACTGCCAATCAGGAGACCTGGCTTAAACTCTCAGTCTGAGTGACTAATGCTCTGAGCAGTTTCAAATCCATTTGAATGCTCACTCCAGATTAACATGTTTTCATTTATTTCAACTTTCAAAGAATATTCTCTATGGTGTTTCTCATCGTACCTGTTATCTTCAAATGTTTCATTCTGTTATATTTCCAGAAACATTAATATTTCATGACAAATAACTCTATCTCACTTTTGAAACTGTTTTAATTGTTTGATATCTTCATATTAATTCAAAATAACTTCTAGCCATGTTCTTACATCCTGCCATAATGAACGAAAATCGCTAGCAATGCATCTTGACAGCCGATGTGTGTGTGCCTGTCGCAGACGCGCTGGACTTCAAGCTGGCCAAGTCGGGGCTGCTGTCGGCGCTACCGTACGTGGCCATGATCGTGTCGCTGCCCAGCGTGAGCGTGCTCTCCGATTGGCTCGTGGCGCGCAAGTTCCTCACCGTCACGCAGGTGAGCCTCGCCACCCGCCCCCGGCACCGGCTGTCTTGGCCGACCTGCCTCTCGGCCACCCATCACCACAAAGATATCCCTCCACACAGTCTACTGGCTTTCTCATTGTCACACAGCAATAGAAAACTGAGACATTTGTAAGGAAAGCGCTCAGTTTTAATTTTGCCCCGGCCGGGAATTGAATCCCGGGTTTTACTGTCGAAAGCGAACGCGCTATCCAACACGCCACCGAGGACTTCCTTCACCGTCATTTATTTTGTTAACATCTTTATTTTCTATCTGTTCTATTCCTTTATTTTACATGCCGTGCATGATTTTGCATGTCGTATTACTATAATTGGGTTAGGGCATAGGCACGCGGAGAGTTCATTTATTCGAAGCTCCCTCTTACTTTCTTAGTTTCGTCTTAATTTAATATTCGGAAATTGTGTGATTTTTAATTTGTATTATTCTATTTTTTAATATTATGTTTGTGTGTTTAACAATCCTTTATATTCAATTTGAATTCTTGTTGAAGCGTTGCTCTGTCCCGGCAGCAACTGCCTCCGGAAGGTCCTAGGTTCAAGACCCTGCAGTGGCGAATTTTCGACTGTAGCTATGTAGCTGGGTCAAATTCAGCCGCTGTCACGAGAAGAATTCCAGCGATCGGCTACTCTGATCCGTAGTTTCTGTGATCAAAACTAGGAGTGTGCTTCACCCCACGGACCGTGTACCATTTTCCCTTCATATTAACGCCGCAAACATTTTTTTCTGGACGATTATTATCCCTCGCCCGCATTAGGCTACTAGATGTTCTGCGAACAGCTATGTACACTACGCGTAGATTGATCAGCAGCGCAATGTCTCACTTCTCGTGTCCCGCTCATGCATTAATGTTCGTTGAGTACATGTATCTCGCGCAAACTTGAGTAAGACGCATATTTTCCTGAGAAAAAAGTATGTTTTTGTATTTATGTCATTGTTTTAGATACTTTATTTCGGAATAGAATTAGTCGACTCTAGTTACAGCGTTTCTCTGGTGGCCTACACATTTGGTATACTGTATCAGAGATTAACTATATCCGAGATAGTAAATTTGAACTGGATTCTTCACAATAATTGATTTCGTAATTTGAGAGTTTCTGTCAAATATCCAAGCAACGCCAATGCAGAAACAAATATAAACATTTAGCCTTGTAATAATATTTTATTACTTTATATTTACTATGTACAGATTTTTATTGATATATTTTGTGGGACATTTTAGAGGATCCGTACTTTCTTTAAACTTGATTCTGTATTGTCCACCTTCATAATATTTTGTGGATGCTTTATACCCTTGAATGTCTCTTGCACTGTTAGAACACTTGCTTTACATGTATTCTCCTTGTTTTCACTTTGGTTTGCTTCTGTTCTTGAAGATTCTTTCACGGTACTTACGATATTCTAATCAGTCATCTGACTGGAATATCAATTATTTTTAGCACTCAGTCTGCGTTGATAAAGCCATAGATGAACTGAAACAATTTCCGCAGAAATATTTCTACGTTTTTTTATTGCCTGTGAATGCTGCAAAAATAGCTCACGAGAGTTGCAGTCCCTTAAGTTATTGCAATTCGCGGTCCCGAGGCGAAGGTTTTTTGTTTTGTTTTTAAGTTGTACTATTCCTTATGATCAATATCTCTTTTGCAAGGACTTTACTATCACTGAATAGTTCTATGACTATCACTATAGCTCGACCACTTAGAAAAATCCATCACGGCGGCACTTTCCTCGGAAGGCGTGACTAATCCATGTCAAAGATCGTGTTCATTACAGCTCCTACCATATCCTTAGTTTCCGCCCAGCGTAATGTTGCCCTCCATCATGGCAGTGAAAGAATCGTGATCAAACGTCGTGTGGTTCCAAGTTGCTCTCTTCCTATTCCTGGCAGAACTCAACCTATACTTCTCCCTGACAACGATTGAGCTGCGTCCTTTCATGGCAACGATCAGGCTGTTAACCGTGTTGCAGAGGTAGAAGTATAACCGGGCAAGGCTGTCTAAAAGAGCGATTCCTCAATGGTTTGTTGCACTGCTGCCCCACTCAGTGGCCAATGCATTAAAATCCACAGCAATAATAAGAGGCCTTCGTTCTTTCGCATCATCCAATAGTCTACCTAACAGTGTCTTGAACACCTCGAGCAACGCACTGGGTACGTAAACACTATAAAATATATCCTGAACACCTTCATTCAGATGAATCCAACCTCTGGTATTTGCACAACCTCGTGGACTTTTGGTTGTGGGGTCACTTATATTTACCTGTTGCATGCTTCTCTCTGTCGTTCTCTTGACAGAAGCAATGACAGAAACAAACCCAGGGGTTTTCCTCTATCTACTGTGGAGACGAACTTATTCATAGACGCTTTTGAAACAGAAGCCCTGGAGAATGTCCTACTTAAACCAACACTATGGCTCCTTGATTGTACGATTCACTAGGGGCCGGTTTCACCAAACGGAATCAAGAAGATGATCCCGAGTTGATCCGGATCAACTTCAGTTTGATCCCGTTGTACGTTTCTCCGTGCACTTAACACGAATCAACGTGTCTGACTCGGATCAAATTTGACTCGCAATTGATCCGTCGCCGAGCTGTGGATCACGGCCAGATCAGGAGTTATTTCTCGGCTTTGTCGTCTAGCTATTCCAGTTTTCCGTATTTTTTAAGTAAATGCCTGTAGTTGGACTTAGTTTCAGTGTGGAAGTATTCGCTAAGAAGTAGGATTGCGCGTAATATTTGTTGAGCAAATGTATTTTTTAAGATAGTATTGTAAATAAAAGTAAGGTTAACACAATTGTAGGTTAGGATTCTCAGTATTGGGAAGTGAAATTTAAATATATTTTGGCTTCAAATTAGTGTAATTATAAGTATCATTAGTAAAATAGCATTTTGTTATCTGTATTGCAATTGGCGTGGGATTGTTTTATTGAATACTTTTTTTAGTGTAGTAATACTTTCAATTTTTGTTCTTGTTAGGTTAATTTGTATCGTAAAAATAGAGAATGTTTTCGAATGTGACTCTATAAATATTATTATTATTATTATTATTATTATTATTATTATTATTATTATTAATGAAGTCATTGAGTAATTCCCAAAAGAAGCGATTATTTGAAATGTCAGAACGAGCATTAAAACTTTTTTTGTATTTGCTTATTAAGCTTTCGAGTAAATCTCGTTCAACTGGAGGGAAATTGGGCATATCATTCTTTCCAACGTCAGGTGAACACATCACCGAACAAGAACACTACCATACGCATCTCAACACCTCACAAAAACGGAAAGAAATAAAATCAAAACAACTAGGTTTCTACAGCTGAGCGCGAGAATACCCAAAATACATTACAAAATTGTTGCCAACCGCGCATTTTCACGACTGCTCACGAATCATGGGATCCGGATTAACTTCGAAGTCTCAAAACGTTGGTGAAACGCACAGGGATCAAGTCGGCCTTGACTCCGCGGATCAGGATCACGAAACTCGATCAACTACGAATTTGATCCTGGTTGGTGAAACCGGCCCTAAGGGAGGAAACCTTCCCCTCTGCCACCTTTCGCGCATGCACAGTCCAGGATTTTTTTTCTGAGTGGTCGAACGATAGTACTTATTTTTAATTAATGCGAGTTTACTGTGTACCGAGACGACTGTACAATTCTTAACATTTCTCCTTCACCTTCTTCTTGTTTTCATCTTCATCTCTCGTTCTCTTCTTTCCGTCTTTTTCTCATCTGTTCTACTTTATTTTTTCTCATGTTTCTTCTTCGTTTTACTTTGTAGCCCTTACTTCGAAGGAAGAAGTATTATACTCGTACAAAAGAAAACAACGAATGTTTTACAGAAAACCTCTTGCTACCGGACCTTGATAACAAAAAGTATTGTTCCTATATATAGAAAATGACTACCTCTTATGTGAAGTGTGGTCAGATTCCATTTTTATGGGGCCGTAATACTGAAAAATCGATTGACAGCCTTCTGTTCGTCTATCTATACACCAAAGTTTTTATCGTTATTTATGACGAAAATAGTTTGTTTTTTTAATTACAACCAACGTTTAAAACGCCAAAAATGTTGGAACTTTTGCAATTTTCAAAAATGTAGAGACTTTATTGAATATACTTGCGCCATTTCTTAAATGTTCTTCTCCTATCCTGGGAGGGGAAATGATAAAAAACTTTGAAGCTCTTTGAGAAATTTTGAAATTATTCAGGATTTGTGCAAAGTTCCCCTAAAAATTAAAATGTCCGTTTCAAACTCGCAGGTCCTCGAGTTCGGACAGATCGATGAGGGAATATTAATTTTGATGAAAATAGTGTGACCTTGACCACAGACACACACATGGACGAACGGACGCGCAGAGAGGCCTTTTGCCTTCAACAAATGTTTCGGTTTCAAGAACCCACAACACGTGTAATATGTCTACACAACGTATTGGATGAAGTATTTTGTGTCTGCTGTCTGTACGAGCAGTGTTTATAAACTTCTACAATACCAAGGCCGCTAAATACGAGTTTTGCTGTCAAAGCATCACAATTTTTCTTTATGCCACATACGTAGTATGCGAGAAAGTAAACAGGCGGAGAGCACGATGTTGACGACGGCTTGCAAGCTGCTTAATCCACCAAAGACTCACGCGGCTGGGGAACGTCTTCCTTTGAAGCGATCGTAGGCGGAAGCGCTCCGAAGATAGGAACAGCAGTCAGCTGCTTCGATTAGACGCCTTTAACTTCAGGGGGAATTCCGTGATAATATTTTCTCGATACCGCACTCCTTACAATACGTCAAAACTAATCGAAGATAATTATATATATTCCACGACTAACCAGTTTTTGTAAGGTTATCTTCGGAGCTATTGACACTTGGATTAGACAAGTTATGACACAGAGCATATATTCTCGCCTCGTTTCTAACATTTGCGATTTTCTAAAATTCAGGAACTTCAGCGAAATTAAAATACGAGTAAATTTTAAGTGAAATTTGCTCTATCTACGGAAAAAATTATTGACATAATTGGGAGGCATTTTTACATAAAATTACAAGTTGCGTTAACTTCAAACGAAAACTATTCGTTTTTTCAAATATTTTATTGTGAGCGTTTGAAAATACCTTGCTACACTGTTTGTGGCACAACCAATCATCAATCAATACAAATATTGCACTGTGAATGATACTGTGCTGAGTGCACCCTAGCTGCTCCCACTTACCCAGAGGTGATGATGTGCGCAAGTGCTCTGACATCTCCAGCAATCCCTCCATGGCAATCCGCGATGAAACGGCGCTGTGTGCGTCGAGCAGCCGGGCCGCCCGCGCCAACGCAATGCCTCTGTGTGTGCGCAGGCGCGCAAGACGTTCAACTGCGTGGCGTTCCTGGCCCAGACTGTGTTCCTGTTCCTGACGACGGTGGTGGGGTCGCCGTACGCAGTGGTGGCGTGCATGACCATCGCGCAGGGCATCGGCGCCTTCGCCTGCTGCGGCTTCAGGCAAGTGCATCCATCCTTCACACGGGTGTTAGGTGGGTCTCGTTCGACGATCCATCAAACACCAATGCATGATGAGTTGCCTAAAAATCAGGAGTACATGCCACATGTGTAACTTCGTTATTAAGAATATTCCACTACGTCATTGGCAAAAGAAATAATTTTACATCCACGTGTTCTAGAAATTTGTTCTAACATTTAACCTGTGACACCCTCTATGATTCCTAAAAAGTAATTTAAAATGATTGTGTCAAAAATACCTAAGGTACTTTCTTGTATTTCATGACGAATACCAGATTACTTGTTGCTGAGTAAATTAGAGTTTTCAATAATAGTTGACTTTTATCTTACTTCCATGGGTGTCCCACTAGAATTTATCTGTCAGTGTCGCTGACTGTAGCGACTCCGACCACAACGTCCTACAGTTCGAGACTCAACGGCGGATTTTCAGCACTAGCAATTTACAGTTCAGCCGCTGGCTAGGGATAACGTTCTAGTAGTCACTTCCCTAATCGATGGTTTTTCGTGATTCATGCGATTAATATCAGGCAAATGCCTGAAAAATACTCTGACAAACGGGCCACGGACCGCGCGCAATCTTTCCTTCTTTGTTCTGCCCTGTCCATACACACACACTTTGGACTTACAAGCACTACAATATCACTCATCGAGAGACCAGTCGGGAGCTTAGAGCTTGTGAAATTTTATGAAAGCTTGACATCGCATCGAAATCAAAACATTAACTGATATATTTGTTGGAAGGTTTATGAACCTCTTTAGTTGGTAAAGAAATAGCATAAAAAAGGGTGCAGTGTAAATTCGTCAATCCGGAAAAAACAGAACGACAGTAAGTGCTCCGAAAATAGAAAAAGGACAATGAAGATTGTACCACCCGATGTTTATTTTAATTAATGCAAAATTCAGTTTATTGGAAAAATCATTGGTCAGCTTAGTCGTAGTTGTAAATTGTCCACCTGATTTGGCTGTATAAATTCCCAGCGTATCCAGTATGAATTAGAGGCTTTCACTATTGAATAGATGTTGCCAGGACAAATTCAAAATATCAAGAATGTGTTTGATCTTCAACACGTAGTTTAGCCACAAAATAACCGCTACACTTTTCGGTATGCTTCTGTGATCCACGTCTGCACTGACTCTAAACTGAATCAAAGCTGACGAGAGGTAAGCGCGCGCTGGCCGTTGCAGTGTGAACCCGCTGGACCTGGCGCCACAGCACGCCAGCGTCATCATGGGCCTCTCGTGCACGGTGTCCACCCTCTCCGGGATGATCAGCCCGCTGCTCACGGGCTTCATCGTCACCGACAAGGTTAGTCCACTCGTCATCTGGAGAAATTTAATAGTTTTTTGTCTGCTTGGGTAAGAAAACCGGCATTGTCTATACTGATACTGTGAGAAGGATATAGTACAGATTTAGATTTATTTAGTCAAAAAATAGTACTCGTCAAAACTGTAAGTGACGTGTGGGGGAAAAGATAGTCTGCGCACGTTTTCTTGAGTTTCTTGAATCCATTCCTATCATTTTAACTATAAATAGTCGAACGACGAGTAAAACAAAGATAAATAAATAAAAATAAAATTTAAAAAAGCGCGAGATTAGGAACATTTGCAAAACTAGACATTTTTGTTCACGAGTTATAGAAAACGTATTTGTAACGGGAAACGAACTGCAAATATGATTTTTCTGCACTGCTAACAAAATAGTAACTCGCTATCCCTCTAACGTAACACCTCTACTCCTACCACTACTAGCAAAAGGAGAGTTCAACAAAACTTGCGCATAGTTAAGCTACATTTACGTCCAGAAGTAAAACAAGGGGCCATCTCAGCATTTGATCAATGGATCAGGGATACTGCACAAAAAGCTGATCGAGATGGGGGTCATTGACCCGGAAGCTAAAGTACATATTGTTATTATATTATAATATATATATTACTTACAAATTACATAATTGTTACAAACATATTGAATCTTTTTTTTAAATGAAATCATAAAATTTAAACTAATTCAATATATCACTGTTTTGCTAAAAAAATATGATTTTTCTTTTTTTGATAATCAGTATAGTCTCTAATTGTATAGAAACAGTTATGCAGCAGAAACTATTTTACTTCTAACTTAAATTTGTGTATCGACTTCAATTGTTTAATGTCATCTGGCGTTATAAAGTAACGTACATTATTGTATGTTAGATTTCTGGTAGTGAGCTGTTGATACTGACACTTGATGAATGTGATTTCTACGACGTGTGTTGTAATTATAAATATCAGTATGGCATGAAAATATGTTCCCACCGTTAAGTAAGTCACTTCTTACAAATATTACAGATTCGCAAATAAATAGGTAAGGCAATGGTAAGATTCCAAGTTCAATGAAGAGAGGATTGCAGGTATCATGCGAATGGCATTTTCCCATTATTCGAATAATATTCTTTTGCAATATAAAGATCTGGATACTACATGATGAGCTTCCCTGGAATTTTATGCCATATCTCTGGCGGTAATGCTCATTTGCAAAACACACGCAACGAGCTGCACGAAGGCTGGCAGAATTTGAAAGAATTCTGAATGCGTAACATAATGAACTTAATTTAGTGTTTAATTCTGTTATATGTACATTCCTTTTGAGGTTTGACCGAATTGAGAAACCTAGAAATGTTGTTACCTTAACAATAGCTAATTGCATATTGTTCATTTTTAATGGAGCCACAAAATTCACCACTTTTATACTCAACAATTTGAAACACAAAGTTCAAGTACACACTTAAATATTCAAAGTAATTGGTCTATCACATTAGTTCTGAGCATCAAGAGGAATTGGACTTAAACTCGATGGAGATAGTGGTCAATGATTCACAAGTTTACAATAATTATTGCAGATAAGAGTTCATAAAATAATAAATTGTAAAGTTACCTAGCAAATGAATTAACATTTTATTATTGTTTTGTAGTTAGTTTTCATTGTGGAAATGAAATGTACTTATGTCACGTGTTTAAAGTTTACCGTGTAGTTTCCAATGCTATAAAAGCAGATCTTTGTATTCCAGCATTATAAAAGAACCTTTTCTGTTGCAAGAAATCGTTCATAATCGGGCATTTTATGCGCAAATCGTTCACAATCGGGCACAAATGAAGACGTATTACATTTTGTCACGAATGTTTGCGTCATCACACATTCAGCCAATCGTAGCGAGAGAATCGGGGGGAGGTAGAGCTAACCGGAACAGCCGACCACCGTTTACTCGCACGACGTCAAATACCCGAGTCGTACAGACAAGTTGTTTCGCAAAATTAAGTTTGATTCTCTTATAAATATATAATGTTGTTAAACCAAAAATATAGTATGCAACGCCTTTATAATGTTGCTTTATTACATTCGTACAAATTTGAATACTCGGTCCTAAAGTCGCTCGTTTTCAAAACATGTACTCATGCAATAAAGCTTGACATTATAAACTAATTGCATAACTATTGTTTTCAGTGCCACATTTAACTATAATACTAATTTAAACATTTATTATGCGTTATGAAAAACAAAATTTTGCGGGAGACAGCAATTTCTTGAGAACACTTGCAACTGAAATTGCAACTGAAATTAAAAGTTGATATAATGGATATAAAGGGGTCAACTTTATTTAAAACTGAAAAATAAGTATTGCAGAATTTTATAACTGAAATAATTTAAAAATAACTAAGGGTGATGTTATCTCTAGCAAAGTTTTATTCAAGCGCCTGGCTGAGCAGTAATACACAGATCTTCCGCGAAAATGTCAAAATTCACATACCGATTGTGTGTCAGTTAAAAATACATAAAGAGATTCCATCTTCTTATTCAAGATAGCAATTTTTGACGTGGAACGTTGGTTTTGGTAAGAACCTCAATTATTCTGACTATGCAATACCAACAACTCATTACTAGTATATAAATAGTATCGTACTTTCTTAAGTTCCATTCATTGCAGGACTCACATTGAGAAAAAAGTGTTCATTATAAAATCCATAATAAATAACTTCTCATACCCAATGCCAAATCACCACAATTCTTTTTTAAAAGACCTGTTTAAAATAAATACAGACCAGCTAATTGAAAAATGTAACTTTTTATTACATACCGAGTTATTTATTTATTTATTTAGATTAATATTGCTATTATAACTTTTTAAACTTTCCAACTCAATTTTTTCAATGCTGAATCCAGTAAAATTGTGCAACAGATAACGTTCTCTTCCTTATTTTCTTACGGCACGTTTACATGTCCCAAAACTTCGTTTGGAGTTTGCAATAATTATTGAACGGTACTTAATTACAATGTCTAATTATAATAATAATAATAATAATAATAATAATAATAATAATAATAATAATAATAATAATAATAAAGTACAAAAGGTTTAAAAATATTTTGGTACGAGAGTGGCGACGATTAATATATAATTTTGAACGGTTAGAGAAGTGGATTGTTGGCTGCACTATTTTGAATTTAGCACTAATCGTAATCGCTGTGGGTTGTGCGCAGACGCAGGAGCAGTGGAACAAGGTGTTCTACGTGGCCAGCAGCGTCTACCTGTTCGGCGCCGTCTTCTACTTCCTGTTCGCGTCGGGGGAGCGCCAGAGCTGGGCGAAGGACGGCTCGGAGGCGGAGGCGGAGGCGGAGAACAGCGCGGAGGCGGTCCCGCTCAAGGCGTAGTCACCCCCGAGAAGGGCGGCGGCGGCGCAGCATTTTCTCTCTGAACGACCTGCGTGTTTCTGGTGGGGCGCAGCTGCGAGAGTTTTCTCCGGCAAATGGAGCATGGTTGTGGTGGATACGTTATCGCTTTATTAGAATCAGAAGATCTAGGTCTATTTACGTATTTGTCAGGGAACTTTATTTCACTTCTCAAAGACATTTATTCCCCAAATGCAAAATATCTCGAACGTATAATTTAAAGAATTATCGCAATCTCAAATCATAATATCAATTCAATTGAATAAACAGTTAATAATTATCTTACGAACACAATTTATTCACGGTGAATTGTACCAAGAATCATTGGCATTGTCTTTAATTGGATTCAGTGAGGCATTGAAAAGCTCTCTTATTTGGACAAAGCGCTGAAGTTCAGCAAATGGGCAGAGGGCAGGACCCAAGCACACGATACAATGTGAAGCGTCGACTCGTCATTGACAGTTACTTCAGAGATTTCCAATCGAGGCTCTTTGACGAGTCCAAAAGCAATGAAAACGGACCTGACTCGGAGCCCAGCTCCGGCAGCAGAAGCCCGTGAGAGATGGAACTCATAGGCGGCGAATTGGTCAAACGAGACCTGCCAGACCGGATCGCAAAATGTGTAAACGCATTCTTAATGCAAGACCACATGTGCTGTGGTTGTTCTCGGCAGGTTCAAGAGCATCATTCGTAATATCTATTCAATGAGAAGATTTATCTGACAAGAGACATCCATACAATACGCTCCCAATCGCTTCATAATGTTCAAAATATCAAAAACAAGCACTAAAAATCTCAGTTGCAGTGTTCTATACTAGAAACTACATTTCCTTTTCTTCTGCGACTCAAAAATACGGATCAGAAGCAAAGCATTGAAAATTACAACAAAGAACTCGCGGTTGAAAAAGATTATCAAACAACATACCTGTCAGCATTTTGTTATCTAAAAAGTTCCATCGATAAATCCCAAATATTTTGTTTCTATTTTTAACATTTCTAACATATAGGAACGAGAAAGAGCGTATTGCTTCGGTGACCTACAAAGTCTGTTACGCCGCTCGCTTGCGCGAATGCGTAATCGTGCAGGCTCTTTCTTCAACTTGCCAATATCTACTAAGCCTCGTGTACAATTCCATAACTAACAATTTCTCAACTTGATTTTTCATGTTTTTAAATTACGTAAAAAAGATAATCAGATTTTGAATAATAATTTCGCGGTTATCCCTTTAAGAATATCCAAAGCGCGAGTTGTGATTAATAAACCTATTCCACGAGGGAAGATTATAAGCAATAGGAAAAAACTCTAGAACTCAATTGTATGTGCTTAATTCGCAACTAGCATTACGCATAATGAACACGCTGGTGCGCATCCAGTTCACCATCAAAACATAACTAGGAAACTTTACCATACTACTACACGGAAATTCGTATCATAGTGACACACTCAGGAAATGTTTAATAATTATCATTTGCAACTGAAATAATCGTTTTAAACGCGTTCGAAAATAGACACTTATTCACGTATGTAATAGACTCACTCACGTATAGCAATTCTAAATATCTTGCAATTTACTGTCAGACCGACATCAATTTTACTCCTATGTAAAGGATTAATTCGATATCATTAAAAAACCATTCGTTTTTAGGAAAGGGTGATTCCCACAACTTGACAATGCGAGCAAAAAACGAAGGGGATTCATGAAATATAAACGTTCTCGCCACATTTCTGTGGCCATTATATTGAAAACTTTTTACCATAAATGAAAGTTAAAATAATTAAAAATGATTCTTGTGTTTCGAAATGGAACGTTCTCAGGGGGATGTTAGTACTAAGTGTTACAAGTTGTTATATAAGGTGGAAGGGATTTAAAAAAGATCTTTCAAAGGTATTGTATGAATGTCCCCTATTGGATTATTCATAATTTAACGTCTCTATTATTTTCATGAAATTGTGCAACTTAAACATTTAAAAAACTTAGTAATGAAAAATAACTATTTGCAGTAAATCGATACTTATATCGATATTATGTGTTTTCATTTTTTTTTACCTTTTGCAATAACATAACATCTTGAAATAAAAATTAAGTAGGAACAATTTTAATTTTTTCTCAAGTCGACCAACGAAATAAGAATCAACATTTTGACGTTGTTTGGAACTTGCTCTTGACGAAGACACGCGTCTGTGTGCGTCAACATTAAGCAAACCAGTGTGATGTTATAAAGTGCTTTAGATATATACATTTCACAAGATGTATTGATAAAAATAATGTGCATCATCGCTTATCAACAATTCAAGAGGTGAAAAGGACTATTAATAATAAATCAAGCTTAGAGAAGAATCAAGCTTGTAGTAAGGACAACTTAATGGCAACGAAGAGGACTTGATTATTGAAAGTCAATCAGAAAATAACAGAATTACTAGGTAATCATTGTTTGTAAAAACAATTATATATTTTGAACGACTTTGTAAAAATGGAACTATCTATCCCAAGATTTATGTTTTTACAACAACAAAAATTGCTGTTACTGCACATATCCAATTATCTCTGTAAAAAATAGAATGTATTGTCCAGCATTGTCAACAATATGTTATCAATTTTATTCCTTTTATTATTTGGTACCTTTTATTATAAATTCAATGACGTTAATCGATAATTAGTTGTTTTCTGCATTGTATGCACAACTCCCTTCCTCTAAAATGAATCCTGATAATCATTTATGCCCAGTGGCATTGCATGTTGGCTGAGACGGATCAGGGAGAGGGGACACGAATGATATGTGAATCATGTACCCCCTCAAGCCTTTATGTTTACTTTCTCGCCCATCCGTAAGAACAGAAGATATTGAAATCGTGCGCCGGCAAATGGCGAATTTTCGGGACAAAAATTTATTGCCGGACACTGGTAATGAAAAAGTGAATATTGTTTATATGTATAGTAAATTATTCCCTTTAATCCGTTGTGTAATCAGAACGGATGTTTTGTGTGTCCTTGAACCGAAATATCGGTTGACGGCTAAACATCCGTCCGGCTGGAGTCATCGCTAGCCTCTAAACCGATCAGTAGATTTTCTTCAAAATTGATATTTTCCAATCGATTTGTCTTATGTCGGGACCACTTGAATTTGAAACCGATATTTTAATTTTGTGGGGTTCTATACATGAAGCCTTTGGGATATTTTCATTGATATAAATGAGTTTTTTTTATAGCTGGCGTCGTCCCTCGCAATCCATCTTCCAGTACTTGACCCAACCCTTATCCCCAACCCTTATCTCTAGCCTTCATAGCTTTGTTTGCTCCATCCTGCCATGATCTTGGTGGCCTTCCTCACTTTCTGCGTTCTGAAAGGCTTCATTTCCAAAGTTATTTGGGCCATTTGGTATCCGTTGAAGGTTGCATACCACATTAAATGTTTCGTTTCAGTTGTGTCCATGAAACTATTTTCAACCTCTATTATTTTACGGATGGTTCATTTCGAACATATTCTATCCTGGAAATGCCACCACTCCTTCTCAAAAATTAATTTCAAGAGCTAACAGTTTTTCTTTGTCTTTTTTATTTAGCTCCCATGTTTTAGGGCCGTGTGTACATATACTCTCAACGAGACTTTTATACATTGTTCTTTTGGTTTGCTTTGCAATTTTGTTGTTCCATAGCACACAATTTAAATGCCGTATTGCCCTCTTTCCTTGACTAATATTATTTACAATGTCATCTTTGCTTTTACCAGTCTCAGATAGTGTGTCACTCCCAGGTATTTGAAATGTTTGCAATGGTGCACTCTCACTATTCCCAAATCTAAGTCATCTACATATTCCTTGCATGTTACCAGATATTCTGTTTTATTACTATTAATTTTCATTCCTCCTATTTTGTTCTCTTCTTGAAGATGTCTTACTATGTAACTGGAATCCTCTTCAGCAGCAGCTTCCACAACTTGGTCATCCGCAAATAGCCTGGGTATGCAAGGTTTCATTTACAATTGGTATACCCATTCCGCTGCATTTACGTTTCCATTGCACTAGAACCTCTTCAAGATATATCTTGAATAACAGTTTGACAAATGAGCACCCCTGCCTTAAGTACTTCGTAACCTGGAATTCTTAGGATATCCATTTTCCAGTTTTCACCGTACTCTCGCAGCCATTATTCATAGGATACCAGCATTCATGTAGGTCTTATTTACACTTTGTTTATTCACGGCCAGTCACAAATTGCGTATTGGCACTGTGTCGTAAGCCTTCTTTAATTGTTAGTTCAATGATGTATGTGAGATTAAGTGTTCTTCCTCGACGTTTCTCTTTCTCAATCACGTTCCGTATGGTTGTCATGTTTTTACATTTCATTTGCTCCAAATTTTGTCCTGCTTGCTCCAATCAATTTACGCGGGTTCAATTCATAATTTTACTTATCTCGCTGCTACTACAATCAGTTGACGAGCCATTCTTAAGAAGGGGCAAGTTTTTTCTGGAATTTCCCTTTTTTTATCTACTATTAATGTTAGTTACACGTAACTATTAAAAAAAATCAGCATTTCAATCAACATTTGGATTTTATTGCAATTATTCTCTATTCCCCTCCACTCTTTCTATATCTTTCCGCAATTAAATTGAATTTTAATTCGAACTTATGGTTTTCATTGCAATATTTTTTTTAAAATTTTTTTTCCACTCTTGACAATCCACGGGCTCCGGAACTAATCAATAATGTGCCTTAGCTTGGCCTGCTCGACAACATGTAACTTCAACCTTTCGGGGATGTTATTAATTAAAAAGAAACTTTCTATTTTTGTTAAAAAGACCACGGTTGTTCCTTTAACTCCGCGTGAAATCTTATGCGTCCAGGTAAAATGAAAGATGCTGTCGCCCCAGTCGCGTTTAGCGAGCAGTTTCCAGTTTAGCCACATGTTCCTTCAAATTTCCATTACCCCGCTACGTGATAATGTGATTTCCTTTTCTGAATCCATTATTTTGTTTCTTAGTT